TTAATTTCATGTATAAAAACATTCTGTACATCTGGTAAATCGCCCCATCCCATTGAACCAGTCCAGTTCTAAGAAATGCATTGTCATCAGCAAAGTGCAGTAAAATGATTTTAGACACGTCTTGTTTAAGAGCTGGTTAAAAACAGCTTTTAAACATGTCAATCATAAATAAGTGAACTTTTAATGATTATTTTCTACTTTTTTAAATAGATGCTTTGTGGTTTTTTCCCCTCTGTAACCTTGTAAAAATGAACTAAAGTGTGTTAAAATCCTGTTTTTCCAGTTATCTTTTATGCATTGGTTGAATATTTTGTCCTTCTTTTGTTAGTGTACTCCTGTGCTCTCCTCAGAGACATCCTCCTGCAGGGTCGGCTCTACATCTCCAGACACTGGTTGTGTTTCTATGCCAACCTCTTTGGAAAGGACATCAAGGTATCAGACTGTTTGATAAACCCGGAAACCTGAGCCCGGTGACATTTCAAATCACAGCCTGAAGAAGCTCATTAGACGGCTTTACTAACGATTTTACTGGTAGTCGTTCAGAATTAGGTGTCAACTAGAAGTTCCTGAGTCTCAATTCTTACACATTAAAATCTTTATACTGTAAAGGTGGGTTTGAAAAATCTGTACACATATTTAACCTTTAACCTTAACCTGCTCTGAGATTTTTCTCTTTGATGCTGGGCTTTCTAGCTTTACCTTCATTTCCGTGAAACTAAAGCTCTGCTAGGTTTTCAGGGACACTTATATGAAGGTTATTTTGTTTCGAAACTATTCCAGCTGCATTCCTGACATTCTGACTCAAATAACGTAGGTTTTGTGCTGCCTGCCTGTTTTCTGCAGGGCCCATCACTGGGCTCTTTTGTCATAGAGGGGTTTTTCTCTCTCCTCTCTCATTCTGGGTGTTTCAGAGGTCAAATACAAGACTCCCGTTTCCCTGTAAATACTTATTCGCTACTTTGCTTTCATTCGTCTCAGGTGGCTATCCCTGTCGTCTCTGTGAGGCTTGTGAAGAAGCACAAAACAGCCGGCCTGGTGCCGAACGGTTTAGCCATCACAACAGACACCAACCAGAAGGTAGGTATAGAGTCACAACCAGCAGAAACACTAACATTCATTAAATAATTCTCCTTTTGTGTTTGTTTTGTTGAAGAGTTTTGACTTAAAAACTACAACAAAAACCTTTAATTCCTAAAAATGCAGTAAAACCTAAGTCATGATTTTTGTTTTTTTTAGAAAAATGTGCAAAATCACCTCTAAAGTCAACAAGTGTAGCTTTATTACAGCATGATGAATCCCATCAGTCAAGCACCGTAAATAACCTGTTATAACTAAAACCAACAATAACATCAAAATGGCTGATTTAAAAGTTTGTAATTTGAGCTTATATGTTCATTCTTTTAGTATTGTGCAAATAAATCAGATGCATGAGGATTCTGCTGCATAGCTTCAAAGCTTTATTTGATTACCAGAGGAGGGAGTACCTAAAAGTACCTAAAATATATTTTTAGGAGTATTTTTTACTGCAACATCCATTTTGTTTTAACTTAAGTGATGATTATTCTGTTTTATACCAAAACTTTTAGTGCTACTTTTTAATCAGTTATTTTAGTGATACTTTTAATCTGCTGAGACGACGTAGGCATTGAGATCAATATAATAAACAATAAAAAAAATCTATTGTCACTGTAGGTAGTTGACCCTGCTCAGTCATATATACTTTAGGAGGTGGTTTCATTTGTTATATGTAAAAAAAGAAAAAAAAAAAAGATTTTAAGAAATACATTTAAATAAAATAATTTATTAAAAGAAAATGCATTTGCACATTACTTGTATGTTATAGCCTGATACTCTGTATCTCAATTACCTTTTACCAAATGCCTTCTTGCTCTTGCTGCATTCATTGGATGTCTATTTTTTTATTTTTACTTGTGTTACTTTTACTTGAGTGCATTTTTTGGATCTTTACTCTTCTGTTTTTATAACAGAAAAAGATATTTAATTGTATTTTTGCTGTTGCACGAAATCTCCAGCTAAAATCATTCCACTGTAGACACCTGAGCAACACAGAGAAGGAAAGGAGTGCAGCTGAAATACCTCATGTAGGCAAAGTGAACCGATTGGGTAAAACATAATATCCACTGACTGGGGAGGTAAAACAGACAGATTATCTCCTTGTCGTAGTGCTGCGGTGGATGGCATATAATAGCAAGGATATATTTTAGACTGAAAGAACAGAGCACAGGCGAGAATCAGAACAGGAACATGGAGCTGGACTGTTGAATAATGCTTTCATTTACGTTGTCTGCAAGCTTCTTAACTGTGGAGCACATGAGGCTCTATGATGGCGAGAGGACATGTCAGCAGAGAAAGGAGGATTCTTTGGAAACATGTTTGATCCTGCAAACCTGAGTTGAAAACCGCAGAGGAGATGGTTAATGATGTCAGAAAGCAAAGAAGCTGCACCGGCAGAAAAACTACCTTTTAAGTTCTGGCAATGCACAGATCCAAGGAAGGGTCAGTGGTGGTTTTAAAGGGTCCAGCAAAGACTCCACTGCCTGAGGGTTCTCACCTGATTGTCAAATTGATTCAAAGATTTCTATCTAAGGAAAACCATTTGTTTGCATCCACTCATGACTCAAACTAAGCATGCTTGTAGCAACAGTGGAGAGGAAAAACTCCCTTTTAACAGGAAGAAACCTCCAGCAGAACCAGGCTCAGTTTGAGCGGCCTTCTGCTGAGGCCGACTGGGGTTCAAGGAGACAGTAGCAGAGATGCAAAAGGCAACTGTAAAAGGCGACCCCGACCAGGAAAAATATTTGGTGTCACATAGCTCCTTAGAAACAGAAACTATTCATCTTGTTCCTACTATACATATTTTGTACACTATTTATAGTCTCTGTAGCTTTTATCAATTTCCCATCATAACTTCTTCTTGTATTCTCTCCCTGCATGTACTGGACTGAGGCAGCAGCCATAACTCAGTATGAACACATGTAATGAATAAAAACATTCACATTCTGATGACAAGGGGCCATAATGTTGCGTCTGATTGGTGTTTATTTCTCAAGTGTAGCAGAAACTGTTCCTTTAATTTTATTCATAGATTCATGGCATCATTGGATACTTTCTGTTCTTTCCTCAGTATGTTTTTGTCTCTCTGCTATCAAGAGACAGTGTGTATGATGTCCTCCGCAGAATCTGCACACACTTACAGGTCAGTGAACAAACACATCATGGCCATTTATTCATTAAGTCCATGCACCGTGCCACAGCATTTCAGATAAAGAGGCGACTGTGTTTCTCTCTCTCTGCAGGTCAACGGGAAGAGCCTAAGCTTGAAACAGTTCATGGAAGAGCCAACCTTATCGCTGGTGAGTGGAAGTCTCTGAAACAGAGAGGGACTTTCATTACATGTTGCAAAGTCTGCCAAACTCCCAGATCAAAGACAGCAGCGGTGTGTTTTAGTGAAGCAAACTCTTCAAACCTAAAGGCTGTTTTTAGTCAGAAAGGATCCATTGATCATTCTGCTGCAGCTTCAGCTGCAGCCTTGCAGTGAAATATTCCCCAGGTTGGCAAGATGCAATCAGGAGCTTTCTGGAATGGCTGTGTGTGTGTGTGTGTGAGGGGGTCAATGAAATGTCCCCATGTGTCATAAAAACAAAGCTATGTGTGTATGTGGACTTGTTTTTATCACAGCGTGGGGACTTTAATCTGTTTTCACTGTCACGTTATGGGGTCCTATATTCTTATTGGGACCAGGATTGTGGTCCCCATATGGTAAAGTAATTTTCTTTGAGTTGGGGTTAGGTTAAGGTGAATTCATTTCAGGAAAGGGTTCGAGCGTTAGGTATATGTTGTTAATAGTTAGAGTTAGGGTAAGGCTCTGGGTTAGGCCATATAAAATTTATGTAAGTCAATGAAATGTCCCCATAAGTCATGAAAACTAAGCTGTGCTATAATGTAGCTTTGGGAACTCCTGACCCAAATGATGATTTCCTTTATTTTAAAAATGCTAATTGAAAAGAACAGTGGCAGGAATTTCTTTATCTTTTAAATGAAATGTGTTGTTTTGTTTTAATATTTTCCCTGCATAGTAGGTTTAAAATATGTGTTTATAAGATGCTTTGTTAGAAGTAGAAAGAGAACTAACGTAATTTAACCATAGATAAAGTAAAATATTGAGGTTTGCCTTCACATATGTGGACGTAAAGAGCATGATTTATTGCTGAAACCTTTGTTTTATAAGACAGTAAAAGATTGATAATGGAAATCCAGTTATCAAAATGTATCGTTCAAATTAACAAAAACTTAAAAATGAAAGCCTCATTAATCTAAGAATTGTAATAACTTTGATTTGAATCCATAGTTCTTCTAGTACAGAATAAAAACTGTATGTTTCACATAAAATAACAAAAAAAAGAAGCAAATTAAAAAAGGTAAAATCAAATCTAAGCTGATCTGAAATCAAAAGATGCTTTTTTTTTCCTGTCCATTTATCAATCTCCCCTCACTGCTGTGACATAGGATGAGTTCCCGACTCCGGATGACTTCCCCGTCGTCGATGAGTTCCCCTCAGTGTTAAAGTGGAGAAGGAAACCGTCGGTGGTGTCTGTGTCCTCCTCTCTTCCTGACCTCCTGGGCAGCTCCAGCAGCGGCCTGGGAGCAGCAGACACACCTTTTAAGACAGAACCATCTCTAGAAGGTGAGGAAATAGTCTGTGCTGATATTACACCATACTGGATCCTCTCTTAACTACCATGTACTAACAGGACAGGACCTGATTTTCCCCTGTAACATTTCAGATGGCAGTCACTACCTGTTAAAGTCCTTCAGAGTCCCTGGTTCCCTCTAAGTCTAGGAACTGAGATGGCCTTTTAATTTAGACGTTTTCAGTTCCTGTTTTTTTTGTAACTGGGAGACCAAAGTAGAAATCAGCTTCTTATGGCTGCGTTCCCTCTGGTGTTACCTTCAGAGATCCTAATTTACCTCTAATACCATCCTGCCCACTGTGAAGTGGGAGCTGATAACCATGGCCGCTCATCCAGCCTGTGGTCTTATGTTCCCCACAGCCCAACATTTCAGCCAGATCACTAAAAAAAACAATGCAACAGACTGGCAAACTCCCACAATTATGTTTTCACTGAATTAGCTCATTTTATATTAAAACATACACATAAAGTGGAGGAATTGTATTCATTGAAGTATTTTTTTATATATAGATTAAATTTAATAATAAAATTAATCATTTGAAATATTTTTATTCATTTTTAAATGAGACATTCAATTATTCAATTGTGCATTTCACAATTTATTGGCATATTTAATATTTGAATTATGTCTGAAAGAAAACGAATTAAATTAATGAACTATTCTTTTCAATATATTTGATCAAATTCTCTCTTTTTTGACACAACACATTTACAGACAACAAACTTAACCTGGTAACATGTACTTATACGCACTTACATTCACTCATGCATTCACCATTCAAACCTACATTTTTCTAGTTCCAAAAATATACAAAACCCTTTAGATTCAGGAAGTGAAAAATAACAAGAAAATATATGAATAGAAACTGTAGTCAAGACATCCATTTAAGACTCCCATCAATAAGCTCCACCTTCAGTCCCTATGATCCTCATATATGGCTTCCATAGATTCTCAACGTCCCGTTGTTTACCCTTGGCAATGTATGTTATTTTTTCCAGTCCAAGTGAACCTGCAGATTCTTTCCTCCACAGTCCCATGGAGGGGGCCTCCATGCTCCTCCAGCATAGTGCAACAAATCTTCTGGCTTGAAGAAGTATATCAGTGTAGTTGTCCTCTGTAATTGTTTAAATGTAATTGGGTTTATTCTAAGAACACAGATTTTAACCTCTAATGGGATAATTCAGATAGACACCTAATAAAACTTCTGGACGTTAGGATATTCCCACAAAATGAAGAGTTCCTTTTTCAAATAAACATTTAGTGCAATTATCTGGAATATCACTGAACATATGAGGAAGCGTAACTGGTGTTATTTAGGTTCTCATAATCCATTTATATTGCAGAGGTTTAAATCACGCGTTTATCGTTTGTTTTTCTGCTTTTAAACATGCCTGATTCCAGTTTTCTTCGTCGATATCTTTGAAAGTATCTCCTCTCCAAGCGTCTAACTTATCTATTGCTGAATCTTTAGAGGAACGCATAAACAAAGTATAGAACACAGAAAAACAACCTTTGCCTTTTAAGTCCCCCAACACACACTTCTCTATTTTCGTTAAGGGTGGAATGTCAACTATTCGTTTCAGTTTTAATGAAATCTTTTTTCAATTGCAAGTATTTAAAAAATCGTTTTGGGGGTATTAAATACTTCTTACATTACTGATCGAAAGTAAACAACCTGCCATCAGCATATAGGTCTTCCATTTTCTGAATGCCTTTAGTTTTCCATAGTTTAAATCCTCCATCATTTTCCCTGGGGTGAACTTTTCATTACCCGGATAGGGGTAGATTGTGATCGCTCTGGACGGTCACCTACAGGTTTATGTGCTGCATGCCAAGTTATAATTGTACTTTTTAAGAAAGGATCCTTTGTGGGGATTTTTAGTGTCCTTATATGCGAAGAATATAGAAAGGTGTTTAAGGGGAAATCTGGAGCAGATTGCTGTTCAGTGTCTACATGGCTGATGTTAGTTGGGCGGCCATATAATACCATCTGATATATGGGTCTTTAATTCCACCTCTTTTATAGGGCAAAAAAATTAACTTTAAACGGAGCCTTGCTTTTCCATTTCTCACAGGTTGTCCAGAATGTTATAAAATGAATATGACACTGTCAATGGAAATGTTTGTAAATAGTACAAATTAATGAACATCTACTTATGTAATGGTGCATTTATTTATGAAATGCGACAATCAAATGGGTGATATCTCCTGATGCCCACTAATGGAACCCCCTGGCCTGAATTAAAATTCTCACATTAAATTTTATAATTCTCTTGTAATGGTCAAAATAAGCTGCTGCAATAAAAGATAAGGTGATATTAAGGTCAGGAAAATGTTCCAGTATAACCTGATCTAAAAAGATTCACTCCAGGAGTTTCTTATCTTTTTTCTGAGATTTAGAAATAATAAGGCTTCAGTAAAGTTCACAGGTCATTCAAATTTTTTTTTTTTAATTTCAACTGAAAAGGAAAATATTTTTTACTGATAATCAGAGGAAAGTGAATTAAGTCAATGTTTTCTTGAATAAAATCCATAACCTACAGCATACCATCATTACAGATGAGTCGTTAGCGTCTCTCCTCTGTTTCCATTGTGGGTCCTATTTTTTGTGTGAAACTGAGAGCAAATGAATAATCTCCTTTTGGATTTTTTTTTCTCTTACGCAATGAGACATGAGGCTCCACAGAGATTAAATCACATGGTGGCTTGTATTAAAAAGCTTTGTGCCCGTGCAGATTTAGTCGAGATTATAATAAAAACAGCGTCTACCGTGAACCATGTTCTAACCACCGGATAAAATAATGTTTTTCTCTTCCTGTAACATGTTGAATACTTTAAATTAGCAGCACATAAGATGGGTTCAGAGCAGTATGTAGGTAAGTAAGTAAAACCTAATGTATTAAGACACCTTTAAAAAAGAAGAAGGGTGTCAACACACAAAAAAAGAAGAAAAAATACAGCAAAATGATGAGTTTTCAGTCTGTTTAAAAAAAGCCACCGGTTGGTTGCTTTGTTACCAGCTGGTTGTCACAGACCATGCTTCCTTCCAGTGTACTTGTTATAAAGAAGTAACAAACATGCAGTTTGATGCAATAAAGTTAATTTTCTCTGCACTACCAATGTTTTTATTTTTTATTCGTTGCTAAACACTTTGGATTAAGTAGATAGTAGCTGGTCTATGGTAGCTACCATAGACCAGCTACCATAGAAAGCTATATTTTCCAGGTTCTGTTGAGTCTTTGTTAGAATTCCTTTCCTCTTTTTTAAAGGTTTGAATTACAGACACTGATCATTTGCTTGAAGACCTGAAATTAATTTTATTTATCATCTTATCCACCTTTACAATAAAAAAAAAAGGCAAAGGAAGACTTCCAGAAAGTCCATATACTGTATTAGAGCCACTTCTGCCTACTAGAAAGCAGAACCTTAAGGAATGAGGAGCAGCTTTTCATATTTTTGTCTCATGTTTATCCAATAAATCCATCACAGCATGGTGTTGATTTTTAACTTAATCAAAGCAACTTTTGAACCTTTTAACCCTTCATCATAAAACAACATGCACATTGCAAAGAGTTTGTCACACGTCTTTCCAGGTTGGCAACATGCACTTTAGACTCAATATGTAAGTGAGACATAAATTATAATGTTAAACTATAAAATATGTTCAACATAAAAATAAATCAATAAAACAATATCCTTTTTACACTACGTGCGCTGCCCTCCCCCGCATCCAGTGCATCTCCAGTTTCTTATTGTAAAATTTATTTTGTAAAATAAATATTTCTTCAAAAATATTGTTCATTGCACCAAACACAATGGAAATGAGACAATTTAATGGATCCAATCAATAATAGATATGAAACCCTCAGTGGTAATGAGGAACAAAAACAGAGACAGGCTCATTTTAAGCCTCCAGATTTCTGATATATTCCACTTTTACTCTTCAGCTCCTTGAATGATCAAATCCTTAAACCCCGTCAGCTGCATCCTTAGCTCCTTTCGCCGCTGTCAAAACTTCTGTCATCCTGATCTCACTTGCTACATGCTGGTCTTTCTTTCACCGTTAATGTCAAATAATTTCACGGTGTGGCAACAAACACATTTGAAGATATAGGGGGGATATAGGATTTTTGTGACTTTTTGAAAAGACCCGCCCTCTCTATTTAAAAAAAAAAATGCACATGCACAACCCTGTACCCGCATGCAAGAGTGTGCACAAGTCCCTTTATCCTTGAGGATGAGTGGGTACGCAATGATAAGACTATTGCTTGAATGGATCTCATCTCACTCATATTTATATATAAAAAGTTTCCCTGCAAATAACACTACTGCTACATTTAAAATCATGGCGTGCTTGTATTTGTGCGCTGCAGTGAAAACGTGGACATGTTTGCAAGGTAGATATGGATCTTTGGCCATCGTACAACTACTAACGATGCAAATTACAAAATAAATAAACTCGTCTTTCCTGGAAAGTTACAATATAGAGGTAAATAACTTTTATTAGCACTGGTGTGAAACTTTGCAAACGAGGTATCAGTTGGAAGTCCAGACCTTTGCTTTCAGTGTACGCCATGGTGTTATAGAATCTCCCAAAAACACTATTGCTTCTCTCTTCTGAGGCCTTTCTATTCTTCTCATACACTTCGTAGACACTTGTTCTCTTACGACCCTCAGTCATTTTCAAAGAACCGCTGTGAGAGAGGTGAGCTTCATTTACTGTCTGAAACCGTAGCTTCCCACAGATATACGCCTGAAAGTGAAAAGAAAGCTAACGGTTCCAGCTCGTAGGACGTCCTTACGTAAACACATCACCAGAATGATTGACAATAAGGAGGACCACTTATTTAGATGATCCACCCGGAAATAAAAGATCGTCCTCTATCGCTTTAAGAAATCCTATCTGCATCAGGAAGCCTTCTACAAGTGCTAAATATAACACTTCTGTATGGTTTTATTGTTTCTTTGCTCTTTTGTAAAAGCTTTCTAAACCAAATTTTTTTGAATATTCCAGAGAAACTGCTCTTAGTTCTGAGGTTAGATAAAATCATGTAAATCGGTTTAGTATGAACTCTTCTATTTGCAGAAAAAGAACGAGGGGTGGCGAGCAGACAGTAATACAAACATATCAGCAGAATGATTAACAATTAGGAGGACCACTTATTTAGATGATCCACCTGGAAATAGTCCGTCCTCCACTATACCTTTAAGTTAATCTTTAATTTTAAGAATATGCTCTAATTTCTTTGGAAACACTTTCAAACTGTTGAATTATTTTAAGAACAGCAGTCACAAGTAGCAGTCAAAGAGAAAACAAAGATGCATGATGAATAAAAGGGTAAATGGAATAACTCAACTATTGGTCCTTATTCATAATTTTTTATTCAAAGGTTCACAGCATTTTTAACTTAAACCCTAACAGTTGAGGGCAAGGATTTTATTTTAGTACAGATTTATGGAGAAATGTTGCCCACCAGCTGTGTTAAATTTGAAGTAACGAGGACAGTAGAGTAATTTTAATGGTTTCGCTTGTTATGACGTGTTGTTTCAGAAAGAGGTCTGCAGACAGACAGAGGTCTTTTATCGGAGCCGGTGGCAGAGTTGGGCCAGATGGAGTACCAGCTGCTCAAGTTCTTCACCCTGCTGTGAGTGTACAAAAGAAACAGGCAGAAAGCAACAACTCCACCTTCAGCTCCTTCAACAGCTGACTCACAGCTCCACACACACACACACACACTCTGGGCATTAATGTGCTGATATAAATAGGAGGTGATTCAGGCAGGCTTAGCACAAGGGATCCGAGCTGTTAAAACACTTATTCATCACACTTTTTCCGCTGAGAAACACCCTCCCATGATATCGTAACAATATTACACTTTGTGTGTCATAGAGCAGCACGTGCTTCATGTTCATCTGTTTGTACAGAAGAGTTTTGTTATACATAAGCTTAATCTGCTGTAAATGCAGATGGAGCCCTTCCATATATATTTATAAATACTAAAACATCCTTATTAATGCCAGCCTTTTGCAACTGTAGAAGAAAAATACATATTTAAATGTGTTATAAAGTAAACAGCTCAACTAATGACATTCAGAAGATTCAACCGAGAATAAAACAACACATCTTTGATATTATACGGCCAAAATGTGAGACTTAATGCTGTTTTTTTTTCTTTACTTTTTTGATTATTTATTTTAGGATTACTATCAATCCATATTTTCTAAATCCAGGTATTTGCTATTTAATTATGATAAAACAATCACAGTTGTCTAAGTAAATTATTATTTGTTTTCTTCTGTCAGTTTTTTTTTTATGAAGATGGGCTTCATGATATATTTGTTTGTATTCCATATATCTTTTTTTTTACATTTTAAATGTACTTTGCATTTTCTTTATGTTTTTAATTACTTTACAGATCTGATATGTTGATTCAGATATGTTGAATGTATTTTTTCCACTAAAATCTATTTTATTTTATTATATTTTTTACTATCAACAAGTTTATTCTCTCAGCTGCATATAATTTAAAGCAGCAGGAGAGGAAAGCAAACACTGCCCTCTAGTGCTCATTGAGAGAAATTACAGTTCTGAAACTTTTCTTTCTCTTTCTCTTTCATCAGAATAATTCTCCTCATCCTGTCATCGTGCTATCTGGCCTTTCGTGTGTGCAGTCTGGAGCAGCAGCTTTCCTTCCTCAGTAACCCAAATCTGCCCCTCAGAGAAAGGTACCGCACTTACACATATATATATTCTTTTTTTGTCTTTCAGCTGAGACTGATGTTAGAGATTTCATGCAGTAATGTGGAACACAGTACTTTTATTCTCTAAAAGTATTCAAAATGAAATTTTTTTCTTATGCTACCAGCTTTAGTGTAAGTTTGATATTTATGTGGCATAACCCTCAAAAAGTAGCGTATAATTGTAAAAATGTGCAGAGGGTGGCATGTATTTGTATTCAGCTCTTCCAGTGTTAAAGACGGCCATACCAGGTCAGGATGCTACAATCCCTTTGTTTCAACTAGCTGATAAATTTGGGCTCACTTGACTAGAGCACCTGGCCACGTATATCTACTGCATCCCAATATGGCTTTTGGCATACTGCGAACAGCACTCAGTATTCTTTACTCTTTAACCATTAGACCTCCTAATTATATATATTGTATGAAATTGTGTTATATCAAACTGGTTCTATAGTCACTCTATTACATATGGAGTAATGTAAGCAAAGTCATTTCTCCCTGGGATTATTAAAAGTATTTCTGATCTGATTCTGATTCCTGGTTGATGGGACAGGTGTTGTGAATGAAACGGTGCCCAGCTGAAAAGAGCTCCTGTGTGTCGCTGAATGTTTGCATTGATGACTGAAAGACATCTTCTGCCTCCATTTATCTGTTTACTACAATGTGTTGAATTCATGTTAATGTGGATTTAAAGACATTTCAATAAAAGTGGAAAAAAATGCAGGGAGGAGAAAAAAAAGTCTAATCAACCAAAACTTTTGCAACGCCCATGCTGGACCTCCGTAGACCCCCTGTTGAAGACCTCTGCCCTAGAGGTTAAACCTTTAGAGTGCAGCTAAGCCTTGTTGTGTCGAGACCTTCCTTCCTTGCAGCCTCTATAATTAATGACGTTTTCACCGAGCTTTTTAGTTTAGGTGGACATTCATGTGCGGGTATGTTTCATTTCCTCACATGTGCTAAGTTTAAGATAATATTTTATTAACCAATAATTGTTTAAACCTTTTCGCAATTGTCTTTTGTTCTTTGGTCATGATGCAGTTTTAAAGGTACAAGCAGATGTAAGCTATTAATCTTTTAGGTGACATCAGAATCTGATGCGCGTTGGGCGGAGCTACCCTATCCTTTCTTTGCATGGAACAATGGCAGCTATATTTGCTATGATCAGTGGGTAAAAATTTGTTTTAATATGTTTTTAAGTGAGAAAGTCCACCTGAAAACCTAATCTGTGCAGTCAGTTCATCAAGACTATGATTCTGCCTTAAAATATTATTTCTCTGTTGGAGCTGCTCACACCCCCATACACCTGCAGTGCTCTGTCACTGGAAATGCTGTTCAACAGCAGCCTGGTCGCTTCTTGGGGGTTTTTCGCTAGTGTTGGTTGCGGCTTGAATGTGTTTTTCATGTATGTAATCCAAGCTCCAGGCACCAGAATAATTTAATTTAATATATTTTGCCGGCAGGTTTCGACATTTTAAGTTAAGCTAGGCGTTAAACAACTGTTTCAGGGGAGTGATCATAGCGATCTGCATCAGAAGTGTGTCTGTCTGCCAGCTCCCAGATCAGCCTCTCTGATTAGTGATGTGGCGCGTCCAGCAGCAAAAGTTACATTTTTCCAACTCCAGCAGCTGCTGCTTTGGCAGTGCGTTAGATGCTTAGAAGCTCAAGAGGCGCTGCTCCTGCTGCTCAAGGCGTGCTGCAGGACCTTTTGCTGCGCCTTGATGTGCGTCAACCATTGACTTTGCATATAATCCCGCTGCTTCTGCTGCCTCTAGTGCATACGGTCCGAACATAGCATAAGGCTGGAATAGACCCAAGCCATTATGTTTCCACTAACCACAGCATGTTCTCCTGTTTCAGGTAACCTCTACTCACCTGTTCACTCTCCTTATGCTGGGACCCGATGATGTCAACCTGCACAGTTAAAGAACCAGAACAAACCCCTCCCCTGGCTACAGCATCAAGGATCCAGGCGCCGGAGGTTACGGGATGATTACCCAACCCATGATCACTTCCAGGCTATGCAAACAGACTGTATATTTATTTCTATGTAGATTTTGTTACAGCTGCTCAGCAGTTTATATCACAGACATTGCCTCATGCTTCAATGTGAAGAGAGGAAAAATAACTGCTAAATCCTCACACTGATGATGATGATGGTTTTGATGATAGATAATGAGATCTAAAAAGATACATGAGAATGCTGATGGTAAGGAAACGTCCGTATTTCTGTTGATCTAAATGTTTGAATGATTGAGCAAACTAGTTTAACTTTAGAGTGAAGTATAAAACTAGTGATGATGTTGCACTTTTTCTGGTAAACATTATGTCTAAATCATTTCAGTCACAGTGACATTAAGTGTTTCTGCTTCTGTAAAGGTACTCAGTTGTCATTTTTAAGATGTTCATGGAGGAACGTACTGTGAGCGAATGGGCTTATAATATTTTTCTGTTTTTATTCAATTCAAGAAAAAAAAGCTATCTGAAAGAAGAAAATGATTCTGAAAGTAAAAATATATATTGTAGAGGAAATAAATCACATTGATAGCAAAAAATGATGTTATTTTATGTGTTTGTAGAGAAAATACTTTGTCATTAAATAAATGAAAAATAATTGACATTTGGAAAATTATTTCCGAGGGTAAAAAAACACCACACCTGCTCAAAAATGTATTTTTAGCCTCAAATATTGATTTCTTGCAATCAGAGTGAAAATATTTTCTTTCAAAAATAGATTTCTATCTCCAAACTTTTTTCTTCTCTCTCTCAAAACCTAAGTTTTTGCTCCTGATTTAAGGATTCTTCTCTTGATGTGAAAAACCTGTCATGGGCGGGCCTGTGCTCCTATTGGCCAGTCTAACAGAAGTGACAGCTGAGTGGAGATACTATTATTTAGTTGCAAAGGTGGTTATGCCCTCGCCATTAATTTTCGAGTTGAACAGCACCTCGCCAAAAATTTGGACCAGAGCTTTCAGCTTGTCATGTTTCTAAGTGTTTTCATGTGTATTTTCCACAGGTGAGTTGCATAACTCAAACAGCTCTCTGGATCAGTTGCAGGCAGCTCTGTCCAGCTTCTGCACCGGAACCAGAAGTTCTCATCCACATCCCAGGCAAGGAGCTGTTCAACCTGAACGCACCTAATATCTCCACTCAGCTCTCAGTTCTGTTGAGACACATTTTTCACATTGAGAGAAAAATTATTTAAAAATCCCCTAATTTTCACATTAATCAATAAGCTGTGAAATCATTTTTCAGCCATTTTGGATCAAAGTTAACATGTATTCCAACAAACTCCTATAAAGAAAGCTCACTGTGCTCTCAGCTAGGGCTGGGCGATACGCACTAAAACCTAATCCCCATACTGGGTGATATTATCGTGATAGCAATAAAAGAGATGATTCTTGCCCCATTTCGACTTCCCCTCTGAAACCGATCCATGCTGAGTTCAAACCGAGCTTGGATCAGTTTACCGTGCCGAACTTAGCTCTTATGACCATTTACACATCACGCTAACACGGTTCCTTCCTACCAGCGGCGGTAAACGATACTACAGCTCTCAAGGCGGGAATTACGCGGGAATTATGCAAACGCCCATAACATTCAGGAACTTCTGTGCGGCCTCCACCCAAATTTCAATGACAGCCTCGGTCTCGGCATCATCTCAAGTCGCAACACGCTCCTTTGATGCCATTTATTGTTAATAGGCTGAGAAGAGGTTTGTGTTGTGAACAGGTGAAGAGATCTGTGAATTAAAAATTACACAGCAGGAAACATGTGAAATGAGTCAGCTGACTGTAAATAGATGATGCAGTTATGTTTTGTTATCTGAGAACCGAGCCACAGATGAACCGTGCCGAGCACCACTGCTGAACTAGTACTAGATTAGCACGGTTCAGTTGTGTCTGGCATGGTCCAGTTCAGTTACGTTCTGTTTAATCTCAACAGTTATCTCGGTTACCGTGCTCGGACCATTCTCAGCACGGTTTTAAAAGGGCAGTGTAAATGGGGCTTATGGCTCTGACTGCTTATCACAGCAATTACTGTATAGCCCCACAATCACTAATAATACAATAGAGGAATATACATATTTGAAATCGGCTTCTTCAGGACACCAGTTACATAAAATAATATGATTTATGTAATGAAAAATCTTGTAACTTAATTTAATAATATTCTTCACATTTTCAATACCCCAATGGAAAAAAGTTAAGGAAAAAGAAGAAAAATTGTGAAAATAAAAGTTTTGACAATTGACAAAGTTTCTTGAGTTTTTAATCATGTAGTCTAATTTATTTATTGAAGTAAAAAATCTTACCATAACTTAAAACGTATCATGTTGGTGTGTATGTTAGTATTAACTATGATATCCATGTCAGGATGTTTATTATTCTCTTGGACATTTATTATTGTTGTTACATGCTTATTAATCTAGTTCCTGGTGGATTTTAAGTCTCCTGCTGCAGAACTGAACCTCTTTGAAAGAAGCTGCCCTGACATTTAAAAAACTCTGCACATTCTGCTCTTAGAGATGAATGTTGGTAATATCAACCTTTTATGTGTGTGAGGAGACATTATTCTATACGCTGCTCTATGTTAGATGTAGGATGACCAGCTGAACTGCTGTTATTGCCTTTGTGGTCGGTGCATGTGCTGACAGCAGCGACTTAGATTTTGGAGGAAATCAGTTTTAATTGGATTCTGGGGTTTAGTTTTCTGTTGCATGTACAAAGTACTGATAGATACTGGAAACACCCAGGGTGAGGATAAATACACCTTATTCTCTACTACTACTTCATTTGTAATGTGTGCTTATCATCAGTCCTCATGTTAATACTTTAGTATGTTTTTTCCTCCTTTTGCATTATTTGGGGAACACGCACCATTTCAAATAAAAAAAACAGGTTATACAAAGAAGAAATATTACGGTGACATACAAGAGCTCTGTCAGTGAAATACATGCTTCAATCTGCGGAATGGATCTCCTATAAAGCTAATCTCTTGGTTTGAGAAGGAACCACACATACATGAATGGCTAGTAGCTGGCATAAAACAGGACACAAATCTTGTTTTCCTTTTGAGGTTTTTTCTTCATCTAAAGAGATTTCTTTGCCCCTTATATAGTCTATATGTTTGAATAATATTCATTGTTTTGCAAAAGCCTAAAGGTTTGGCCTCACAGTGGAATCATGGACATCATGAAGCCTCTGGTTTCTTACTTTGTTCTCATGCTATGCCGACCCTTAGTTTACATTGTGTGTTAGATACAATATGTGGTCACTTCTTTAAAAAGTTTTCTTCTAAAAAAACAAAATTATTCAAGTTAAAACTGAACATTTGTTTTTTTCGTTGGTAAATTTAATACCATCAAAATAAGTTGCTCACCATAATAGCTTTAGATTAGGCACAAAAGCTGTACCTCCTTGAAGTAAATATAGATGTCTTGATCCTGAAGATATTTAATCTGGTTATGGGCTTTTATTTTTGTAATTGCTGTTATTGTCCTGCTTGCTGAGATTTCTTAGGTGTTCATACAATTACTCCACATAATGCACAACTAAGAAACTGTTACTGGCTATAGGCTCTTGTAAATCTAGAAAAAATGTCTTCTGAACTTGTGTTATGTCAAAAGCAGAAATGATGTCATTATTTACCAGTCAGACGCATCTCTAGCTACTATCTATTTTCAGCTAAATTGTGTAAAATTAGCAAAGAAATGTGGTTTTATTAGAGTTTTAAACACTCAGCATTTAAGGATGCTATGTAAATAATATCCATTCATCTTCCATCCATGTATCCGTCCGTCCATCCATCCATCCATCTCTGGACGGGTTGCCACGGGTATGTTGTTCAGACTTTTGGAGGAAACCAGTGTACCTGCAGAGGACCAATGATGCATGGAGAGAACATGCAAACTACATTGGTTTAAAAACCCAGGACTGTCTTTTTATTTTTATTACCTCAAAATGCTGGTGTGATGTCATGTGACACCAGCCTGCGACACCACAATATTTCTGTTATGTTTTGTTCTTATTACTCCATACTACTACATCACAAAATCACATGCATTGTAATCATTTGCTCATTAGCTTTGGTTTAGGGGTCTCAGTAGGACAGCAACTGTGGGTTTTAGCAGCACTATAAAGTCGGGATAGGTTGAAATAGATGCCCAGACATCCTCCAGGGAGTCATACTGTCTGTCCTGGAATGCTGCTGGGCTGACCTTTGACCCCTTCGGTGTGAGCTAGTCTGACTTCATGGTTATGATCTGTGTCACACACTGTAAAATCATCACACATCCAAGGCGACAAAGCTGGAGGTTTTCCAAGAACTCATTACTTCCAGCAGTCATTGAATGCGTCTGAGGTCATGTGTGCAACAAGTCTTGATCCAATGTTCCAGCTGGTCCTTGTATGAAGGGAGGTCTGCTGCAGTAACTTAAAGACAAAGAGAAAGATTTATGTGGGACCACAGAAAAGTAACATTAAACAAACCGGGAAAACTTTACTAGAATGAAGCAATAAAACATCACAACATGTCTTGAAATGTTACTGTGTTTTTCTAAAATGCATAAATATTTAGAGACATTCAATATAAAACTGATCTATACTTCAAGATTTTAGTAATGTCGTGTATCATCAAAAAAATTCAACAAAAAGACTAAAGGTTTTACAAAACTATCCCTAACATGTAACATTATAGAAGACACTTTCACTTAAAATACCCTAATTTATACTCAGGTATATCACATCCGTTTTATGGCAAAAGATTGTAACATTGATTGCTTAAAGGCATCTTGAAATAAATGTAATTCAGTAATCAACCAATAGGAGTTCAATATGACGTAGGTCCACCCTTTGCAGCTAGAACAGCTCCAGAACTTCAGGGAAAACGCTCTACATAAAGATTAGGAATGTGTTTATGGGAATTTTACCATTCTGCCAGAAGCGTATTTGTGAGGTCAGACAGTAATGCTGGCTCTAAGTCTCTGCTCTAATTCATCCCAAAGGTGTTTCATCAAGTTCATCCACAGCAGACTCTACCATCTGTGTCTTTATAGATCTTGCTTTGTGCTCTGGTCAACAGTGATGTTTAGAGAGGAAGGGGGCCAGCTCCGCACTGTTCCCACAGAGTTTAGAGTTCCTTTTACTAGAACTAAGGGGTCAAACAAAGCTCCTGAAAAACAGCCTGGCAAGCTCAGATGAAGAAGCACGATTCATCACTCCAGAGAGTCCAGTGGCGGCGTGCTTTACATCACTGCATCTGATGCTTTGCATTGAACATGGTGATGTGTAACTTGGATGCAGCTCATGTGCCAATCTTAAGGCTACATGAAGTTAGGAGGTGTGTATTGACTGACTCTACAGAAAGTTAGCAAACTCTTTGAACAAGGTGGTCCAGCATCCGCTGATCCCACTCTATCGGTTTACGCGGCTGAATTGCTACCGTTTCCATTTTCTAACGATACAGGTAAAAGTTAACTGTGGTACATTTAGGAGCGAGGACATTTCCTAACTGGATTTGTTTCACAGGTGATATCCTTTCACAGTTCCCCACTGATGTATGCTGAGCTCCTCAGAGTGAACTATTCTTTCTCAAATGT